TATAATCAGTTCATAATGAATGTTTCTGAATAAAGTTGTAGTAATTGTAGTAGAGAGATAACTCTTCAGTAATCTGTAATACAATCTGTTGATAATTATTTCATAGTTCATCTCAGTGTTTATATTGAGTTTTTCATAAATTTCATGACCTGGAATCAGATGTGAAGAATGAAGTAATTATTCATTATAATTAAAAGAGAGCATTCTGTGTTGAATTATAAATAACATGAACTTTGTAATTCACAGTGATTTCTTAAAGAGTTTATAAATCTTCAATAGAAGTAAAAGAAATGAAAGAAGTGAATTCAGAAGATATGATAATAATTTAAGAAAGATAACAATTTATTTTCAATATCTAATCACTGATATGTGTAAGAAGAATTAATATAAGAGAAAATAATCTTGTTTCTTAGCTTAGTTATAATTTTAGTACTAACTCAGATTGAATATTATCAATATATAAAAGTAAATAAACAATCTTGATTAATCTCTATCATATTCCTTGAAATATATTAATATTGTGAAAGAGAGTGTTACTAAATTATGTTATCAGATAATATTATTAAAAATATATTAATATTATAAATATTAATATTGAAAAAATGTTAATAGTTATACATTATAGTGATTTATGAATCATGATAGTTAAATTGTCAGGTCACGTGATCTGGCTTACTAATCCTTCCATCATATAACTTTTCACAAGCTAGCAACCTTTCAATCACACAAGCTTTACACCTTTCACAGGTTATGAGACCTGTTTTGTGCAAAATCACTGCCAATTCAGGATTCCTTGTCAATATACTCATTATTTGAACTACTGCTTCATTCAATACATTCATCAGGAGTTAAAATTGTCTTATTCTATCAGTATTGATGTGTTTGAGATCTTGATGATCAATAATACTACTGCTCACTTAAAAAAAACAGGCTTGCAGAAAATGCACCACATTTGCAAAAAAGCAAGAAAAAAGAATGATATTAGCAAGGATAAATGAATATCAAGATGGCAGATTCAATACAATCTCGCCCACACACATGTTCGCGATCTCGCGTCCTTTCCACTGGGTCAGTTGCAGTTGATGATGATGATTCTTCACACTCACGCAGTCACGCTCTGCCAGTGGACATCCTTCTGAAGCCTTTGAAAGCTTCATTGATGAACACCCCGAAACACTCTCTCAATTCGAAGCTGGTTTGAATACAGCCCCTGACACGGTCAGGCCGGCCCTCCGATCTACTCGACAGCTTGATGAAGCTGGTTCTCATGAAATCAACAGTTCGGGCGAGGCAATATCAGACCAACAGATGGAGCATCTCAAGATGATACTTGAGATGAACAAGGGGAAGCAAAGAGTCCTAGAACTCGAACTACAACTGGAAAAACTCCATATACAGAGATTTTCTACAGATAAATCACAGAATGTCAACAATCATCCTGTCATCACATCAACAGCTCATACAGCCACATGAAATTCTAATCTCAGTGAAAGGTTGAAATTCAACCTTTATGAACTGAATAGCTGTGTTAGCAAGACAATCTCCTAATTCAAGAAAGATGTCAAGAATACTGTGAGATCAAACAGTCTGACTGATACATCAAATTACATCACATGAAGCATCTTCATGAAATCAAAACTGGTTGATGCACAGTGTTAATATATGATAGAGAAACAACAGACTCAGAACCCTCTATAAAGAGATGATAAATGAGTATCATTCTGAGACATCAGAAACTGATGACTCTACACATTCATCTCGAACTCTCTGAGTGCAGGTGTCAGATCATATTTCTTCAAATATGATGAAAATCAGATTAATTATACTCTATGAAATGTGATTGAACAGAAATACTCTGTTCTTAAAACACAGTTACACTGTGAGACAGTTCTGGAATTCATGTCTCTTGATGACACATAGATCACCAATCTACACACATTCTTTGATAAGTTTCAGTTCATCATTATGAAATTAAAGATGGTGAATACTTCTCTCTCAGATGCATGAATATTTGATATCTTCTACTCAGTTCTACTCAATAATTGAAGGAATTATGTTCAGAAGAAGATAGAGACGATACAGGATTTCAAATCCACAGCTGTGATATTAAATGTTGATCTTCTCATGAAGGAAATCTGTTCGTGGCTTGATTCTTCAAAAGATAAAAAGAATCTGCAGAATATAGATTCTGCGGCTAACACAGCTACAACAGCTACAACAGATACAACAATCACTACATCTACTAATTCAAACAACAATACATTGAATTCAGCCCGTGGAGACTGTACTGAACATGGTTGTGATAGTACTCAAGAGAGCTTCTGAAATCATCAGAGATTGAAAAACTCATCTATCTGTTCTGAATGTGAGAGATCTCACTTTGACACCTGTTGATTGATCAATTCAGACAGTGCTCTGAATAATTGAAGAATAAATAATGCTGCAAGGATAAAGAAATTCAAGAAAAAGAAGAAAAAGAACAATAGTGAGAATAGAACTCAACTATTTATTACAGATGAATCAGAGACCTATCAGATGACAAATCTTGCAGAGATTATCAATGTATCAGCCTGTTTTGTGAAATCTCACAAGAATTCTCTCACTATATGAAATAGTGACGCCGGATGCCACATAGTGAGTGATAGATCACAATTTTCAGAACTTATAGCAATCAATGATTCAACAGTTCAAGTGACTAATAAGATTATTATAAAGATTCAGAGTGTCAGCACTGTATTCATCTCAGTGAGTGAAAGATTGATAGAATTCAATTATGTATACTACATATCAGAGCTATCTATAAATCTGATCTCTGCTGAACTTATGAAATGTCAGAGTTATATTCATCATAATATACAAGTTGATGCTGGGAACTACTTTGAGTTTCTGTTATCTATCAACAGTAATATCTTCTATATCAATCTGTCTCACAATAATATTTACATTCTATTCAACAGCTCACTGACATTTCATGAAGTAATGAATAACTCAATGTATAAAGCAGTGACATATGTGGCTGTTCTGAAATCAAAGACAATCTCAACAGATTACAATCTGAGTGCTGAGTCTTTAAGATCTTTCAGCTGTGAGAAGGTTGAACAGTTAATCAATCTTAAGAATTCAGATACTGATTTCTTTATTATCTCATTTTCATCTTAATTATCTGCAGTTCTTCTAAAACAGCTTCTGATAGATGAGTGATATCACTAACTTAGTCATATCAGTGAAAATAGTATATTAAAAATGACCAGAGACCTGTAATTTGATATTATCATTATCAGCTTGAAGAAATTATCATTCTGTGTCACATGTGTTAAGACTAAACAGAAACACACTTTCTACAAGGATTTCACATCACATCATGTCACTCACAAGGCCTTGAAGATTTGAATGAATATATTCAGTGATGATGAGACTCTTGAAACTGAGAATGATATATCATCTTACACTGGCAAGAAGCTTGTAATAATGATAACAGATGATGTCATCTGTATGAGATGAATATTTCTATTGAAATACAAGAGTGAGATGTTGAGATATCTATGAATCTTCAATAAATTTATCAAGAATCTGCTGAGATGTGATATTGCAATCATTCACTCAGATTATGAAGAATTGAATTCAAATGCAGTCACAGCATACATGCTCAGTGAAGATATAAAATGAGAGTTAACTCTCTCTCATACTTCATAGTAAGATGAAGTATTTGAATAATTGATCAGCTTGATCATTGAGAAGTTCTGATCACTATTAATAGACTCTTCAGCTTTAGAAAAGATGTGAGATGAGATAGTTATTGCAGTCACAGAGCTGCTTAACCTTATATCAATCTCAACAATATTGTATGAGAGCTCTGAAAATACAAAGCTGATTACACTGTATGAGATCTGGCTTGAAGCTCTATCTTCTGCACACAGCATTCATTGATGGGGTTGTAAAGCATTCTTGAAGATAGTTTTCAAGCTCATCAATAAGATGGCTTTCTGTTTCAAAGAGTTGATTTTTGTGAGATATGATGGTTTTATCAATTATAGATTGGTGGACCCCTTCAACAGGTGTTTATACATATCAAAAGACATCGTCTTCCGCGAGGACCTTCATCTTGCCAATCCATTGATACTGACTACAATGCACAACCCGAAGGTCCTACCCAATGCAGCCTGTAAAGTGGCTGTGATGATTTCTTCGGTGACACCAGGCCTACCCACTGCAGTCTGTCAAGAGACTGCAGTGATTCCTGATCTATTCATTGATGAGGAAATCCAACCTGAGTGTTCATTATTTCTCATACTCACTAATAATGGGTGGATTGACTATGAAATCTCCGCGAGAATACCTACCTTTTTAGTGCAGAATACACTGAACTTCTCAGAACTCACAGTTGAATCTGATGACCCTCTGACATCTACAAGAGATATCACTATAGTGGGGGAATCAACAGTGGGGGAATCTTCAATGAGGAACAGTCTTGAAGACCTACTCACTGATTCCGAGATTGCTGCACTTCTGATCCCGAAAAACCTCACACACATCAAAGCTTCCATGAAATGGAAGTATTATTACAAGGCCTGTGTTAAAGAGGTCAACTGTTTGAAATATACACGTTGGAAGAAGATTATGAAGATGAAGGAATAGAGGGATAAAAAATGATGTATATCATGACTGATTTTTCATTACTTCACATTTTCCAGTCATTTTTTGTACCTGTACTTGATTTGAAGGCGAATTTTGTATATAGCATCGTGTATAGTTACTCTGGTGAGTGGGGGTGTCAGGTCACATGATCTGGCTTACTAATCCTTCCATCATATAACTTTTCACAAGCTAGCAACCTTTCAATCACACAAGCTTTACACCTTCCACATAAATATATATATATATATATATTATTCCTGACTTGATTACAACTTGTACAATAATTTTTAAAAACTCAAAATTAATTTCAATTATTAATAATTATGAACTTATCACTAACTAATATAAAAAGAAAAAAACTTTTTCTACTTATTATTTTTCTGCTCTTTCTCATTCTTCTTATTATTCTTTATAATTTTCTTCTTCTTCTTCTTCTTCTTCTTCTTCTTCTTATCTGAGATAATAATCATCTCAAAATCTCTCTTTACTGTCTTCTCAGAAAAGAGTTTCTGCTGCTCTCTCTCAGTCAGATCAATATATACCTCAAAATCTTGCATTTTCTGATCTACTGTCTCAGGTTTCATCTCAGTAGTAAGTAGATTGATATACTCAGAGAGTAGAGCTGTCTTCTTAATATTCTGAATCATGAAGTGTATTCAAGACCTGAATAAGACCTTAATTCTCTTCTTCTCTATCAGCTTCTGCTAATCAATTAGAGAACAGAAGTATTATTAAAAATCATTATCTCTCAATAAATAAAAAACTTATTATTTTTAACTTCTTTATCTCTCACTTTAACACTCTCTCAATCTTCTTCTGTTATTACTTATTTATAGTAATACTCTTCTTCTCTCTTTCTCTCTTCATCTTAGTCTTAAATTATTCTCAGAACTTCTTCTGATTTTATCACTGCTGTATAAGACTCTTCACTGTCTTCTTCTTCAATCTCTTATAAGCAGTGTTATCTGTATTATTTCTATACTTAGTTCAGTCTAAATCTATCAGAAGTGTTATTTAAAATCATTATTATTCTACTCTCTTACAGAGTCTCTTTAAGACATTATAACATGTCTTACAATCTGTCTCTTCTTACTTGAATGTCTTCTTCTTCTCTCTGTTCAATCTGTGACAGCACTCATATGCCTTGATCATCTGCAGAACTGCAGAATATTTGAAGAGAGATAACATAATTAATTTCAGTGTGTATTAAAGATAGATAAAGACAGAAGAGATGACTAGAAATAATATAATAATAGTGATAATGATGATGATAATAATAGTAATAATAATAGTGATAGTGATGATAATGATAATAATGATAATAATAATGATAATAATGAAAGAGAGAGTGTATTGAAATATATTACTAACTTATCAAATATAAAGAGACTTAAAGAAAATATTAACAGCTTTCAGTGATATACAGAAACAGCTACAGTGTTGTATAGCAATATCATCTTCATTTAATACATGCACTGTTGATATTCTTTGTATACAGTTATTATATAATCTATATCAGAAATATATACAGAGAACAGATCTTTATTACTAGAATAAATGATTACAGTAATTCTCTGTTTTCATATTATAAAGATAAGTTATTCTTATTTCTTTCTTCTTTCTTTTCTCTTCTTCAATTAATCACTAATTTCAAGCTGATATGAAAACTATTAAAACACTCTCAGAAACTCTCAAATTGAAGAGTATAGACTAATCAAATTTCAAATGCAGAAAAAACTAAATTATCTTCTACAGATTCAATTATTCATTTCTCTTTAAGTAAAACAGCAGTTGTATCTCTCTCTTCTCTCAATCAAATGAAACATGGCCTGTGAAAAGTGAGTACTATGTCAGATTATAATGATCAACACGGCCTCAGCATACAGAGCTGTATATACATAGTACATGCTGAACTGAGAGACTGTGTGAGTTACAAATCAGCAGCAGCATCTCAGAAAGAGCTGTATGATATGAAAAAGCTGTAACTCTCAGTCATGTGTATAGAGAATGAATTACTGCAGTAAGTGCATATGCATTGAAGTAATACTTTTTAATAATACTCAGTCTCTGATATGATGAAAATAGAGTCTCTCTGTGAGATCTGTTTCTATCAGAAGTCAGAGAATCTTATATTTCTCAAGATCATCTTCACACGCCTTGTCTGTGAAATCAATGAGAGAAATCATTGATTTCAGTATTCTGTTCTTGATATCATTCAAGTGACAGCAGAGTTCACTCTGACTACACTTTTTAAGTATATATTTTCTAATTATTCACATTTATATAGATATATACTGATTATTTATTAGATAATATTAAGATAATGACTTATTACAGCTGTGTTACTCTCACTGTAAGAAATACACAGTTGATGATAAACATTATAAAGACTCTGAGAAGTAAGTATTTTGAGAATACTATAACTCTGCAATCTTGATTTTTTTTTTATTTTTATTTTTTATTTTTTTCTTTTTCTTTTATTTTTTTTTTCTTTCTCTTTCTTTCTCTTTCTTTCTTTCTCTTCTTTTTTTCTTTCTCTTTTTTTTTTTGTTGTGATTTTTTCTTATTATTTTATTTTTTATTTTTTTGTTATTTTTTATATTTTATATATTTTTTTTTAATTAAAATAAAATCAATTATGATCTGTGTTCAGAAAAGTAATGATATTTGATAACACTCTCTATTAAATTTTCAATAAATGAGCACTATGTTATAATATTATATAAGTGAGAAATGATTTCATAATCTCATTTAATATCATTTTCAATAATGAGATTAGAATGAAAATGTAACTAAGAATTCAAACATATTATTTATCTGAGACTAGATTTTTATTTGAAAAGTGAATCTGAGATCTTTAATATTTGAAATAACATGATTTGAAATCAATGTAATGAATACAAATCATGACCAGAAGTAATACTTTTAGGCAATGTGATAACTGTAAAGTTTGATTCTGGTCTCAGACACGGTCACACGGTCAGTCTATACTTGATTAATATACTCTTGATTTGAGTACACTCATGAGTTCAGAGCTTTCTAAGTGACTGAATTTCTTATACATATAAGTCAATAAGTTATGTCTAAATAAATATTCTAGATAGAGAGCTTTTACATATTCTAAATTACAGTAAAGTATAATATTGTTTTTCAATTTTCTCAGCTTAAAGTTTAGAAGTGTCTCTTCTATCACTTTTATATGATACTTATCATCTGACAGCTTATCATTCTTTAAGTAAGAGATTAGTATATTTACTCATTCTAATTTCTTATATTCTCTGAGTGTGTGTAATGCAAACTTCTCTTATATCTGATTTATAGAACTCTTATTCATGAAATCAGATCTGTGACTGATTGTATTAGATATTACAGTATTCAATCTCTTTTAGTATTTAATATTAAGATTGTATACTTAAAACTCTGAGATTTAACATACTAAGTATTTGAAAGATTTTATCATTGATTGTAGATAGATAAGACTCTTATAATCTGTGATCACTGTTATTATATATCTGTTATCAATATATCTATCTCACAACATCAGCATATGCTTGATTACTAGCAATTTCTTTTTATATACTGAGTAATTGAGCTCAGCATCTGATAGTTTTCTATTATTATATATTACTGAGTGTAGCTTGTCATTCTTGCTCATCTGTAGAAGAGTATCTCTGATAGCTCATTCAAATATACCTACTTTAATATAGAAAGGTTTATCATGATCTAATTGAATAAGCACTGAGAATATTATTACACATTCTCTTGTGGTTCGGAAGAACGTACGACTGTGGGATAATAACGCGGCCGCTTCCGAACTGCTAGCATACGAATGTAAAGGGGGCCATAGCGGCCACTAATTAATTTAGTGTATGATATTACAATATATAAGAAGCCAGCGTACACCTGTAATCATACACTGACTTAAGCAATCTTTGAATTACATCTGATAGCATGTCTAAAAACTGGTAAGAAGTGCAGACTTCTTCAGAGCATGATAATTTCATCTATGAAGTGATTCATAGTTATCATGTCAGTGTGATTCTAGAATGTCTCAAAAGATAGCATATAAAGAGCAGTGAGTGAAAGAGCATTCAATTGATGCTGCTTCACTTATTGAGGGAAAACTTCACATCCGGACAAATGCCACAAATGAGACATGAACAGATGAGATGTGAGAAAGGAAATGAGAGTAGTAAACTAGATTCAAAGAAGTTCACTCCCTACTCAAAAGAAGGATAAAAAGAAAGAGATGGCTACCACCGGAGTCATACAATGATAACAGAAATCATATAATAATATAATGATATAGTGATATAATGATACAGTGATATAACAATAGATATTATACAATCAATGAGAAATCACTGAAATGAATACCTTCTCTAGTTAATATAAATAACACTCTTCTCTGCTATCTGAACTGAAAGATATGCAGAATCTCTCAGAGAGTTTACTGAAAGCAGTAAGAAAAGCAGCTGAAACTGTCAAATCAGAATTGAAGCTCTGTACATGTATAAGAATTCTAAATAAGATCAAGGCCTTGCATATGCAGTGACAGACTGAGATGAAAGTTAAACAATTAGTATTCACTGCAGATCAGGCATTCACTATGAAGAGCTTAACTGACACAATTATTATCATTAATAAGAATACAGAAAATCAGATCTTAGATCTGCAGCAGAAGATTGAATGTTTTGTAACATGGTGGAACCGAAGCGGTGGCTAGTCAGCAGTGACATGTAGAGGTAGTTGTTTGAGAAGCTGTATAAGTGGGCTTGACTATCTTGCTTGAATAGTGAGCTCATAGGCTACAGGGTTATTACAAGGATATCACAGATATGATACTTAGTATACTAAGAAGATTGTATGAGGCATGCAGTAACTCTTGTGTATATTTCAGTAGCAGTAAAACAAATTGCTGACTTCTTTTATAAGGAGCCAGTATCTAGCTATTCTATATAGACAATGAGTGAATACTCTTCTCTCATTTCACAAGTGAGAATAGCTGGAGTGATACCTCAGCAGTGTCTCATTGTCAAGGAAGAGTAATCTGCTGATCTTGTATAGAAGTAAGATTCTCATATTCATCAATCAGATCTTTCTATGATATATCTGAATAATGTCATAGAGTGATTGAAAACCAGTTCAGATGAGATGAAATCATCTGCATGAAAGTGATGAGCTGTGTGAAATCATAACAGAGCCTTGGCACAGCTGAGAGTGTGATAATGCTCTTCTTCTTAAGAGTATAGTCTCTATGCTCTCAAGATTATCAGATTAGAAATTATCTTTGTTGTATAGCAATGATTATCAACTGATTGACAGCACATGTGCTGTGTGTGATATAAAGAAATAGATGAGTTATTCTGCTGACTGTGTAGGTCTTTCTTTTTTCATCTTCATTCAAACTAAATGTGTGATAAGTGAGTTTCTTATATATTAATTTGAGATGAAGAAAATGTAGTTAATAAGTGACTTGCAGATCTCTCATCATATTCTGTTCTATATATGAAATTCTCTGCAAAAGTGGTGTATTTTAGAGACAAAGCTGACAGTAGTGACAGGATTTTTTGAAAAGATCTCTCTCTCTGTGAAACATTTTTCTTCTCCTCTCTCAATTATAACAGTGAGTGTATGAGAGTATCAT